TGGACGGACGGACGGACGGACGGAGGCGTTCCCTATATCCCTCCGAACTTCGTTCGATGGGATAAATATGCCGTAGAGAAGTGTGTACTTTCAAACAGCTTTGACTGTCACCAATATCTTAGTAAGATAATTTAATTTCCAGATCATCTTCGTCAATATTGAAGTTGTAATAGCGCTGAAGCGAAATTCCTCGAAATAGTTTGAAATAAATGACTCTTGATGATTGCTGTTATAAAGGATGTATGTACCTTTTGGAGCTTTATGAATAAACTTTGCCACGATTGAAATGTGTATATGGTGCTTTTCGGATTTTAGAATATACACGTGGAAAGGAGTAAAAAATATATGCAAGTTGCTCTCAATTTCTTGTTCTAACTTAAAGTATATCGGCTAAGAATTAAAGATACACACTCACTTATGGCACACTCCACCCCCTCATATCCAGGGACACAAGTACATGTGTAACCATTGACTGCATCAGTACATGCCCCACCGTTCATGCATGGATTGCTAGAACACTCGTCGGTATCTTGAAAGTAAACTTAGATATAAATATGTCGAACAGAAGTGTGTACCTCCAAATAGTTCTGACGGTCACCAATATCTTAGTAAGATCATTTAATTTCCAGATCATTTTCGTCAATATTAAAGTTGTGATAGCTTTGAAGCGAAATTCCTTAAAATTGTTTGAATTAAAGTACTCTTGATGATTGCCGGTGCAAAGGATGTATGCACCTTTTGGAGATTTAGAAATAAATTTTGCCACGATTGAAATGTGTATATGGTGCTTTTCGGATTTTAGAATATACACGTGAAAATGAGTAATAATATATACAAGTTGCTCCCAATTTCTTGTTCTAACTTAAAGTATATCGGCTAAGAATTAAAGATACACACTCACTTATGGCACACTCCACCCCCTCATATCCAGGGACACAAGTACATGTGTAACCATTGACTGCATCAGTACAAGTCCCACCGTTCAGGCATGGACTGCTAGAGCACTCGTCTGTATCTGGAAAGTAAAATTAGAAAAGGCAATGTGAAGGGTGTATGTAGCATTTGGGGTTTTAGAAAATATGCATTACACTGAGTGAAAAAATATTCATACAAGATACATTCTTGATCTAATTTGTAATAACACTTACTCATGGAACATTCCACCCCCTCATATCCAGGGACACAAGTACATGTGTAACCATTGACTGTATCAGTACAAGTCCCACCGTTTAGACATGGACTGCTAGAGCACTCGTCTGTATAATTAGAAAGTAGTAAAATTAGAAAAGGCAATGTGATGGACGCATGCACATGTGTAACTGTTGAATTCATATAATAATAATAATACAAGCCCCATCGTTTAGACATGGATTGCTGGAACAATCGGCTTTATCTAAAAAAAATGAAATTAGACATATATAATCGTTAGAATACGGAAGTGTGTACTTTTGTGTAGTTCTGACTACAATATTAGCATGGATTGTTGATAATTACTTACTGGCAAAGAATAATGACACGACAATATTTTAATGCTCCATAAAAATACAGCATTTAAAGGAAAACTTACTGTTTTTCGGAAACAACCAGATAGACAAACATTTAATTACCAGAATTGAACTTTTAATAATTATACCATACCAAACCAGATTTCATATTTTATTGTATTTTACACATCATTTATTGGCACAATAATATGTTGAATATTTGGATGATGCACCTCTTATTTTAAAAGGATGATGTTGCGCTCATCCTGACCCTAAAACTGGCCCTAGAAAATGAACAAATTATAAGAACTTTTTTTCCTGACGAACAAATTAACCTACAGTTCTGATATTCATAGTGTCTGATGTTTGATAGTAGAACAATTCTCTTTCAAAAGTCTTCACTGTGTCTAATAATCAAATAATAGGCATTTATACAGAAAAGGAGCGAAAATCCTACAAAGTAAGGTCATGAACACACACAAAAATGAAAAATTCTCAATATTTTCAAACTTTCTTCTATGAAACTATCAATTTTGATAACATTCTAATGTGTGATAATTTTTTTAAATATTTGGGGCATCTTCAGCACGACAATTCATGGTCTTCCATCGCTTAGCTTTTTCTAGATTTTTGATATGTTTTTTTATTCACAAAGAAACATTGATTTCACAAGGTTTAAAATTTTTTTCAATTTTTCCCTTTTTTCGAGTTTTTTACTGGACTATTATTCTTCGTATTCATGAGAACGGAATTGAAAACCGAATTAAAATGAAAAATTAGATTAGGTAGTCACCAGTTCCAACACCAGGTGGCTAATTTGGGTCAGATAGCATGACATGACTTATATGGAATTCAGACCCGTAGTCAGGATTTGCCAAGGGGGTCAATTTTTAAAAAATTCCAGGAGGGTCACTTTGACAGCCCTAAAATGGCCAAAATCATCTGGGAATGGCTCAGAATGGTGTAGAGAAAATGCTTGCTTTTGAAATAATTTTTGGCCAAGGGGTTCCCTCGACACCCCCAACCCCCTCTGGCTATGGGCCCGGAATTCTTGATTTAAACTGGTCAAGATTCTGGCCTTGTCAGGAAGTCAGGAAGTGCTCGACGATGAATGAAATTAAAAAACTCAAGTAAAATCAGGAGTTCCCCAAGGGAACACAGTGCTTGAACCTCTTTGCCTCATTGTATAAATCAATGGTTTGGGCAATAGGAAGCTAAAGATTAGCGTAAATAACACATTTACCTATACCTTTATTATACGTAGTTTGTTATTACACTTAGCGGTATTTTACCAATTACAGGGTTTGCGATACGTATAATTACCTATAAATGGCCGAAGATAGGTAATTCGAAAACGTATGTTTTTATCCAAGAAATTATGTCATTTGTAGATCAAATATCATTCACTTTAAAACAGTAACAACAAACATTTCTCATTCGATCTGTATAGAAATTAATTAAGTGGTCGAACACATTCATTGATGCCATATGATGATGCATGGAATTGTAGAATTTTCACATTCTTCATCAGTTTTGCTTATTTTAAATGTATATTAAATCAGCCATTTTCTCGTGGTTTTAATTGTTTAATTTTACTATTAATTACTTGCTATATCATGCTAGAAATTTCACATTCGCCCTAAGTCACTGATCCATCAGCATGCCAACACGCAACACCCCCTTCCCAACTACAGTAGCTACACCACACTCTCTCTCTGAAGTATATTAAAGTTCTTGGAAGTGACACGTACTGGTATATGCCATATAAAACATCGCAAGGTTTTCATTATATAATTGGGATGTCATTTTTATCATAAATTGAAGCATACGGTTTCGTAGCCTTTTACGTTAAACTTATTTTGCAATACGCATTACATGTACCTATACGTATACTTTTACGCTGATTTTAATCTCCCTACTAACCTAACTGCAACCTCCATAAATGTCTTGGACAATTGATGGCCCGGGCGTAAAAATCACTTGTCCGGCCTTATTTAGAATATACCATATCGGGACATTGATATTTTTGAACAGGTACAGAGTGAAGAACAGCCAGATTTATAATCAAATTTTACTCAAGGGAAACAGGCTGCGCCACCAAAGCTCTTCAACACCCATGATTGGAGTTATTGAAGAGCGTAGAGCGTTTTCATTTTTACAAAGAAAACCATAACCTAGCAGCCATTCACGTACCAGCTCCATACTTCAGCCAACTGATCAATGCCAACGATCATCCTTTTTTGTATATATACATGTATATAAACATCAACTAGAACGGATGCATACTTTAGATATTTCCCCCTAGGAAAATAGCTAAATGGTTAACACTCTACAGTGACAGTCTAAGTAGTTCATACTCTGCCATCGATTTCAATAACTGCAATTAAAACGGTGTTTTGACATAGATCTATTATTTTTAACCGCATCACTCCACTCATTTAATCGTTTTTAGGGTCCCCAGTTCACATCGACAAGCCTGCACTACCGATTCAAGAGTTACGATGTCAACGCAGTAGCCTGACAGTCGTCACCAGTATTTATAACATCTTGATCACACGGTTTCGATTGTTCCTACCCCAGGTCTCTAGACCCAGTGGAAAGCGACGATGTATTTATCGATCAAATTTAAAAAATTGAGTTGAAATCGTAGATCAATTTTAAATGTTAAGGGTAAAATCATATTGTATCACTATCATATTACACATCTTTTTAAATGGGCTTATCATTTCCCTTTGTGATTTTATAATGTGGGGTTTATGGGGAATTTCCCTGTCCTAGACGGGATAATCTCAGATTTAACCGTTATTATCCTAAACTTAGTGTAAGTATAATAACATCAAAAAATAGTTTTGATATCTATTGGCAAAATAAATAACCAGAGGATATCGCTACGATATACTCCGGAAACCTATGCGGATGATATCGAAACGATATATTCCGGGAAACCAATATGCGGAGGATATCGTGACGACGTATACGCCGCTTGTTGATTTCACGCCAAATTGAACTATTTGACATGAATTTTTTCAATGATATTAAACATTAAGTTCACTACTAGTAAGTGTAGGATGACTTTTTTAGAATATCCTTTTAACCTACTCGGTGATATTGATACTATAAGTTATTCAATGATTCGAGTGAAATACAGAAAATATTCTTCCCGAGAAGGTTGTATTTCACGATGCGCTAGCACAGTGAAATACAGACGTTCAAGAGAAGAATATTTTCTGTATTTCACGAGAAATCATTGAATAACGTTTTTATTCCATGATTACCCATATGAAACTCGCCTAAATCAAGTCCCTTGGCTTGGGGCCGGAGAAACAGATCAACCTTCTCACCTCAGAGATATTTTACATCGATATTCCTTCAAAATCTTTATGGCCTTGTTTGCTGTTTATTGTACTATACGAGACGTTTTTTGGAAGTGCAGTGTAGCGAAACGTTTTTTTAGGTCTCCTCTGTATCCAACGCTTAGTGGAATGTGCGTGTATCATTTTGAAGTATTTTTTATTTGCTTTCAAATGGTTTTTTGAAAAGTTTGATGGGATCATCTACCATATTTTTAAAGTTGAACACACCCTAGCATCGTCACATACGCTGTAAGACGTAACACTTTACGCTTACATGGTTCGTTGAAATTTGGACAACTTTTGAAATAATGATCAGAATCCCACTAAAATTTAACATTTTATTCAATGGAACATGTGCATTTCTGAACTCACAATTGCGTAACGGCTCCAGTTCAAATTGTCTAAATACGAACGCTTTTAAAATTTTGTGTAAATAATTGTGTAAGGTTTTGAAGGCGAAGGGGACGAAAAATACGTTTACCTCGATTTTACCTTCTTGTCACGGTGAGATTTACAAAACAATAAACGATTTCTTTATTTTGCAAATAATAAAAAAATAAGAGCTGATTTTCGTGATTTTCATTTTAAACAAAAGTAGTAAATACAGGGTGATCACTAAGTTCTGGGAATCGGTCTGTCATTTCAATATTTTTCAACCAATTCAGTTGAAACTTCCAGCAAATGTACATTGTATAATTCTGAATTGACAAATAATGTTTCATATACATATCACTTTTACAATTTATTTTATTGTAATTATAAAAAAAGTAAAAGTGGTCTGCGGGTCAGCAAATTTTGACTGATGTTAATTTGAAAATATCCTGCTAAAACATATTCATCTTGCCTAGATGGTTGGTTCAAACTTATTGTACTAGAGGCAGAACAGTACTGTTGAAGTCATTTATTCAGAAGTATTCTTCATTGCTGAAAGGATTATTTCATTTATAATGATTTCCATAGGTCTGGACGCCCATGCATTGTTGTCAAACCTAGTCCATAAAGTTGCTTTCCAGTCCTCCCTTTTGGTTACCCTTTAAAATTTGCTCAAGCTGTTGAGATCAGTCCCTCATCTGAACCAAACTTATGATGTTCTCTCATATGATTCTTTAACAGTCAAATTTAGTGAACCTAATGGTGGTTCATCTGGTGAACATTATATGGTGAATATGGGGCATGAACAACTTGTGTGAACCCTAATTCTTCAAGAGTAGTATGGGCAATTTGAGGAGTGGGAAGAAGCAAAGTCATAATGGAAGATAACTCCCCGCTATTTTGAGTCATGATTGTGACTATGAGAGTCTGACCAATGATAAGAAAATTGAGCAAAGTTCACTCTTACATCACAATACAGATGCTACTTCAGAAACTAAAGTTAGAAATATTTGAGAACATAAAAAATCACAGAAATTTGTCCACCAA